ACTTTTATACCAACTATATTCAAATAAATTTCGAAATCTTGGAGAAGAAAGTTGATTGTGTGCCAAAGACTGTAATTTTATAATGTTATTGCGTAAATGTAAATTTATATCGTAATTATTTAAAATAACATTATCAGAGAAGCTTCGAATAAAATTTTTCCAAATTCTAAAGCCAAAAACATCTAAAGGTTGTATAGAACTTGTACCAAAAGACAAACAAGTAAATATTTTAACAATACCAAAAAAAACAACTGCTTTTATACAACCTTTAGATGTTTGAATTAAAATTGACAGCATACCCTGTAAGGATGTTTTCAGTTTATTTCTCAAAAACACGTTTACGGATCGCAACTTTATTATATATGGTTGAATTTGGCGTGAAATAAACTTTAATTTTAATTTTAGTTGCAAGAAAAATTTAAATATTAAAAAAAAAGATACGTGGTGGGGGTATTTTGAAAAATTAAACATTTTTGCAAAATATGATCATGCCATTATAAAGAGCTTTCGAAACCATAAAACTTTTGCTGGAAACATTTTTTTATATTTCTCATTATTTCGGCGATATTCGCTTGAAAACGTAAACACCGATTTTATTTAAGGGGATGCTGCACCCCTAAAACCGAATATCAGCTGCAAAAAAGGTGATTAGTTCATCTTTTCTAAACTTATAAAACAAGGATTTTTTTGAATTTTACACTTGCCGAACTTCCCTTGTAAGTCTAAGACTTGTGAAGAAACAAGGAAGTGCTTTGTTCGGTCGCCATATCGAGTATCGAATCCGTGCGGTTTCTGGACAAAATCACGCGACTCTCGTCGCCATATTAGCGCCCGAGTGACTCGTTGAAGCGATCATTCTCGCTCTCTCAGAAGAGATATAGTCCTTTCTATCGCGGAAAAGTGCGATTAAATTTTTTTATTACTACAAAAGTTGTTCTTGGCGTGCCGTTATCGTGTATATACTACGTGGCATTACGCTAGACAATTTTTACGCGTTGGATGTTTTCTAGCCTATTCATCGTACTTTGTGCGTGTCGGCATCATTTGAGCGTTGTTTTCGAAGAATATGAGAGTAAACATTAATTTTTTTTCTTTTCTCGAAATTTTGTTCTTGGCGTGCCGTTATCGGGTATATACTACGTGGCATTACGCTAGACAATTTTACGCGTTGGATGTTTTCTCGCCAATTTATCGTACCTTGTGCGTGTCGGCACTGAATTGGCATCCATTAAGCGTCGTTCCAGAAGAAAATAATAATTTATTAAAACAAATCGTGCATTGCAAAAACTTCTTACCAAGTAACAGGTGTTGATGTTGATATTTTCCTTTTATGTTCGAACAGGATAATTTATGTCGATAAGATATGTTTCTCAAAAAAAAAAATATATAAAAACGATATGCCTGTTGACTTGCGATCGGAAGCGAATATTCTAGAATATTCTAGTTTAAGATATAATATTTATTAATGTAGTTTCTATTATGCGTTTCAAACATTCCCGCCCGCCTTGTCGCGCAGTGACAACATGTTTATGGTATTTCGGTCGCGGAATCGCAAGTCGATAGTGATCGATGGTGGGGCAGGCGCGCCGGCGCGGCGAGATTCACGTGATGATCGCGTGTAATTTGAATCGATCAGCTGAGCCGCGGAAACACGTGGTGATCGCGTGGAATGTGATGATCAGCTGAGACAGTAACGAGTGTGTGTTTGATGTGAAATGACGAACGTGTAGTGCAGTGTGGTGATTATGGAACAATTGCAAGTGCGGTGGTGCATGATGAGAGTGAGGTGTGACAAATGATACAGTGTATGATGTGATAAATCTCGTGAATGAGTGTCGAACGTTGATGAGTGATGTGTTACGTGCCGGCGGACGGCGTGTCCGCGTTATTCGTGTCCGGAATACGATCCGCGCCCGGGAGCATGACCAATTTAACGATCGGGCGTACGAATTCGGATGTGGCGGTGCGTACTGAGACCACGCGGACGACACCGTCGTCCCCGGGATGCAGTCTCGTGATCCTTGCAAGAGGCCATCGAGTCGGAGGGGTGAGCTCCGAGCGGATGATGCAAAGGTCCCCGACGTGAGGTGCGGCCTCGGCCTTGACCCATTTGGTGCGGGGGTTGAGCCCGTGCACGTACTCAGCCGACCACCGCTGCCAAAAATGGTCTCGCATCAGCTGCAGGTGATGCCAGCGTGACAGCGTGGATGATGATTGTCCGATCCGTGACGGCTCAGGTATAGCTAATAGAGGCGCGCCGATGATGAAGTGCCCTGGAGTGAGTGCTGAAGTGTCGTCTGGATCGTCTGACAGAGCCTGCAACGGACGAGAATTAAGACACGCCTCGATTTGTGTGAGGAGTGTGTTAAGCTCCTCAAAAGTGAGCGTGGTGTCGCCGATTACTCGGCGGAGGTGAAATTTAGTGGATTTCACGGCAGCCTCCCAAAGACCACCGAAGTGAGGGGCCGCTGGCGGATTAAAATGCCAGCGGATCCCTTGAGTGTTGGCGGCGCGGGCGATGTGAAGGCCCTCGGAGGTCGACGCCTTGAAGAGCTCCCGCAGGGTGCGATCGGCGCCAACGAATGTTGTGCCGCAGTCGCTGTAGACGTCCGTACACAGTCCTCTGCGAGAGACGAAGCGGCGTAAGGCGGCGATGAAGGCCTCGGAGCTGTAATCCGAGACGACCTCGAGGTGGATGGCCTTCGACCAAAAGCAGACGAAGACCGCGATGTATCCTTTCTGTGAGCGGTGTCCGCGTCCCTTGCTGGTCCGGATGGAAATTGGTCCCGCGTAGTCCAGTCCAGTGCTCAAGAAAGGTCGAGTTGGCGTCACTCGGTCCCGAGGAAGGTGGCCCATTGGAGGCTGTGGCGTGGCAGCGCGCCAGCGAGTGCAAGTGACGCACCGATGCAGTTGCTGCTTGACGACGGTCCTTCCGCGTGGTACCCAGAACCGAAGGCGAAGCAGACCGAGTGTCATCTGGACGCCGCCGTGCAGAGAGCGACGATGGCAGGACTCGATCAGCAGTCGTGTCATCCAGGAGGCCGGCGGTATGATCACCGGGTGCTTCTCGTCGTAGGGCAGCAGTGCGTGTTTGAGACGTCCTCCAACGCGCAGTACACCTTGGTCGTCGATGAACGGATTCAGCTTGATCAGTGAACTGCGTGGTGGGCCGGAGCGTCCTGCGGTGGCAGCAGCTATCTCGTCCGGGAAGTGGAGCGCCTGTACTACTCGAAGCCACTGGAGTAGGGCGGCGTCCAGCTCGTCGGGGTGTAGTGGACAACCAGGTGTGACCTCCCGGCTCGCCACGTTGAGCCATCGACGACACCAAGCCGTAACGCGTAGCAGCCGATGAAGCGCAGAGAACCGAAGAAGGATGTCCGGTTCGACGACGACGGAGCCCTTGGTCATCAGGCTGGTGGTGCGCTGTTCAGGAAGGTCATCCTCTGCGATGTGGACCTCTGAGCTGGGCCATGCTGTCTCGTCCAGTGCCAACCAGGTAGGTCCAGTCCACCATAATGCGTGGTTGATTAATTCTCCAGGAGTAATTCCTCTCGATGCGCAGTCTGCAGGATTATTCTTCCCGGCTACGTGTCTCCATCGAGCGTCCGGGAGCTGTGTCTGGATATGAGCTACCCGGTTGGCGACGAAAGTTTTCCAGCGAGTGGCGTGTCCCTGGATCCAATGAAGCGTGACCTGGGAATCGGACCACAGATATACTGGAGTAGTTGCCAAGCCGAGAATGTCGCGGACATGCAGCGTGAGCGTGGTGAGTAGGCTAGCAGCGCACAACTCAAGTCGCGGCAACGAAACCTGCTTGACGGGTGCGACCTTGGATTTCGCCATGAGTAGATTAATTGACGGTTTTCCCCTTTCAGTGGTGCGGAGGTAGACTACTGCGGCGTATCCTCGTTCGGAAGCATCAGCAAAACCGTGGAGCTGCAACCTCGAGTGATCGTTGTCGGTGCTGAGCCAGCGATTCACGCGTATGTGCCTGAGCAGCGGCAACTGATCCAACAGCTGTTGCCAATGTCGAGCATCCTTGGCCGGCAGTGGAGCGTCCCAATCAAGTTGCTGAAGCCAGGTGCTTTGGATTAGGATCTTCGCCCGAATGACGACAGGCGCGAGCCAGCCCATCGGGTCGAATAGGCGTGCAGTTTCGGAGAGGACTCGTCGCTTCGTGAATTTGCTGACTGGCCGAGGATGTATTGCGAAGGCAAACCGGTCATCCTGAGGACGCCATCGCAGGCCCAATGTCGAATGGCTCTCTCCTTCCCAGGAATGTGGTCCTTGCTGCAGCCGATGCTCCTGTGGGACTCCTGTGAGGACCTCTGGATGGTTCGAGGCCCACTTCCTCAGTGGAAATCCGCCCGCCATGCAGAGGTTGCGCAGCTCCGTCTGGAGGTTGACGGCATCGTCGAGGTTGTCCGCGCCGGTGACCACGTCGTCGACGTAGCAATCAAGCCGAAGTACTGTGGCACCTTGAGGAAACTGCGCTCCCTCGTCCGCACAAAGTTGTTGCAGAGTTCGGATGGCCAGGAACGGTGCACACGCCATGCCGTAGGTCACCGTCTGCAGCTCGTACTCTCCGATCTCGTCCGTCTTGTTGTGACGCCACAAGATTGTTTGGAGACGGCAGTCCTCAGGATGTACGAGGATTTGGCGGTACATCTTCTCGATGTCGGTGACGAAGACGTACCGGTGCCAACGCCATCGCAGCAACACGTCGGTGAGCGCTGGCAGAAGGTTTGCCCCAGTCAGCAGCTGCGAGTTGAGCGAAGTACCGGCCCGTGTGCGCTGAGAGCCGTTGAACACGACTCGGAGCTTTGTCGTCGTGCTCGATTCCTTCAGGACCCCGTGATGCGGTAAGTAGCATCTGAAATTCTCCGTTGTTGTTGAGGTATTTACCTTCTTCATGTGTTGCAGGTCCTCGTATTCCTGCATGAAGCCGTGATAGAGGTCGCCAAATCGAAGATCTCGGCTGCCCTTGGTCTCCATGGCTTTCAGTAGGCGCTCCGCTGGGCGGCGAGTATCCTGAAGAGTCGTCGGCGGCGATGAGAAGGGCAGCCTCACCATGTATCTCCCGGTGGGCGTGCGCGTGACGGTGCGCACGTAGAGTTCCTCGCACTTGGTCTCGTCGGGAGTGAGTGAAGCCCGAGTTATCGGCTCGCTCTCCTGCTCCCAGAAGCGTCGAACGAAGTCGGCGAGGTCATGATCGGCGGTGCACCGGAAGGTGCGGCGATGTCCCGTGACTGCTGCTGCGTCGTAGCCGCCAGAGAGGATCCATCCCAGGCTGGTTTGCTGAGCGATCGGCATCCTTGATTCACCCTTGCGGAGGCCTTCCTCGAGGATCAAGGAATAGACCTCGGCTCCCAGTAGCAGCTCAGCTGGGTCGTCGTCTAAGAAGCGAGGATCGGCCAGTTGGAGTCCGTTGAGATGAGGCCAGCTGCGTTCTTCCCGCGAAACCGAGCCTTGCTGCAGCGATATGCGGGGCAGCACAAAGGCCACCACGCTGAGTTTGGCGTTGGTCACGTCTGACGTTACGTGCAGCGTGACCTTGCCACGAGCGGATCCCGAGCGAGTCCCTCCGATGCCGAAAATGGAGAGGCCCGTTGAGGCTCGAGGAAGGCGAAGACGTTGTGCCAAGGTCTCCGAAATGATCGACACCTCAGAACATTGGTCGATCAACGCGCGTACGGCTTGTGGTGATCCGTACCGATCGGCGACGTTTATTCGTGCTGTTGCAAGAAGAACGGCCTTGCACTCTGGATTTTGCAGCGTAGCGGTCAGTGTGGTGGCGCGTGTGGCTTCAGTTGACGCTGACGATGTGGGTGCTCCGTGTAACATCGTGTGGTGTCGTGCGTCGCATGTCAGACAGTTCTTCTTTGACTGGCAGCGAGAGAGAAAATGGTTGCCTAAGCAATTGTAACAGAGCCTGTTACTCTCGACAAATGCCTTGCGGTCGTTGACAGTCTTGGCCTTGAAATCTCGGCAGGTCATCAAGGTGTGCTTCTCGCGACACAGGGCACAGTGCGGCGACTCGGTTCCTTGGTGCTTCGTGACGTGTGCCTTGGCTACCCGTGGAGCATCTCCGGGCGGTTTGCTGGCGCTCTTCGGTCGTGCGGCATTGAGCGTCAGGATCCGACGGCTGATGAAGTCCACAAGTGCCTCGTTTTGTGCCGGCTCTGATGAGTCTGACGTGGACGACTCCCACTCAAGACGTGTGCGTGCATCAAACAGCTCGGTGACCAGGAAGTTGAAGAGGTCCATTCCGTGGGTGTTGATTGGACGTCCGATGCTCTCCTGACCATTGACGGCGGCAGTCACGGCGTTGTGAATGCGTCTCAATTCTTCTGCGGTATCTCCCTTCATCTTCGGCACGGCGATGAACGTGGCGAAGTTGGAGCGGATCAATTCCTTTTTGTTGTTGTAGTGTTTGTCCAGAATCGCCCAAGCGCGATCGTAATTGTCGCTGGTGACAGGCAATGACCTTATTAACCTTTCAGCTTGCCCCGTCAGACATGAGCGCAGGTGGTGAAAGCGCTCGATGTTGGAGATCGCATTGCCACTCACGACGGAGAGAAAGAGATCTCGGAACGACGGCCAATCGGCGTAGGCACCAGAAAATGGCGGCACTTTGATACGCGGCAGTGATGACCTTGACGTGGCGTCGGCAGAAGGAGGTACGTTTGCTGCACGATAGTGTTCAGCGTAGCTGTCTAGTATGCTTCTTTGTGACACGTAGAGATTCTCCGTATCAGCATGCAACTCTGATTTAAAGTACTCGCTCTCACTGAACCTTTCCTTCAAGGCCGCACGGATAAGGTCATGCTGCGCCTCGAACTTTGTCCACAGCTGATCCAGAATTCTGGTGCGTGTGGAGATAGCACTGGCGGTGATATTGGAGCTGCCCAGCTTCTTCAAGTACTCCACAGAACGTGAGATGCGGACTTGAAGCTCACGCTGACAGTCAACCAGCGTGGGTACATCCATGATGACTGCACACGAAACTGCACTACTGTCACTCACGCGAGAAGCCACGCTCGCGAACTTGCGGTTGCCGGTGCGACGGATCCGGCTCGAAGGACCAAAAATATGTTCACGAACGCGCTGCTGAGCAAAGGATCGCGCTGCACGAAAGGATGAGTCACTTTTTTGTAAAACAAGGACTTTAATAATATCACACACGTATTGACAAAATACTATAACAAACTTATTACAAAACTTTAATTATTTTACAGTGAAATCGGAATCAAAATCAAAGTGCGGAATAGCGGCGGTCGTCAACGAATTTTGCGGTGTATCTGATAAGCGGTTTGCGATATGTTTTCACGACGGAAAAGCGATAAAGCTGTGATTTCGGGTGCGAGCTCTCTTTTATGGGTTTCCGCAAAAAACCCACCTTTTCGGGAAGCGCCAATAATTTTGCGTCTTTTTAAAGTTGCGCGAGGTGACCTGAGCGTATTACGCGTAATTGGCCGCTGTCAAAATTGACAGAACAACGGCTGTTAGAAAGCATGCGCGAGCTGGCGATCACGATGATTATTGGCGAAACGAGGCGCCCGTGAGAAGCCGCGCATGCTCAAGAAAATATAATTATTCGGCGGAACGGTTGCGACACCGTTAATTGTTTATATTTCGAGCGTGTTTTTGTACGACAGGATAATTTATGTCGCGATATGTTTTCCAAAAAAAAACATATAAAAACGATATGCCTGTTGACTTGCGATCGGAAGCGAATATTCTAGAATATTCTAATTAAGATATAATATTTTATTAAACATGTAGTTTTCTATTATGCGTTTCAAACAATCAGTTTTACTTATATGTATGTATGTTCAATGTGAACTTGCACCTTGAATAAAATATCACAGTTACTTTTCATGGTAATATATTATTACTAAATTTAGATAATATACACTTTACGTATGTTTACTTTGAACTGGCACCTTGAATAACATATCAGTTACTTTTCGTGATAATTTATTATTAGATCGTTTAAATTTTGAAAGGTTTAATTTTTGAGTACCTTCTTTTGAACATGGCCTGACCTTTTCATTTTTATGATTTTTTTTAGGATAACATTATATTGTGAAAATATATATCCTTTTACATTTAAAAGAAGACAATTTCTAATAAAATTAGCATTTGCTATGACAATTAATAAGTTACAAGGACAAACATTTGACAAAGTAGGAATAGATCTTTGTAAAGATGTTTTTAATCATGGACAACTTTATGTTGCTTTCTCACGAGTACGTTTTGGCAAACATTAAAAGTTTATCTTGGTAGCCAACGCGATAATAGACAAGTTAAAAATTATGTATATAAAGAAGTATATTTATAATATCACAGAATAAAACATTTTATAAAATAAAAATAAATCTTAGAAAAATGTTTTTAAATATTAAATAATAAATACTTACTTTATTTTATATTATATCTTTATTTATATTATATAATAAATTTTAAAATAAAATAAAATAAAACTTATGTTCTTAAATTGTATATTTATCTTGGTATAACATAAAATCATATATAACACGTAAAAAGCTCAGTAGCGCGCGCGTAGCGCGCGCCTGTGTTGTTTTAGTATTCTAAAATGTGGATTGATTTATACACCGAAAATGACTTTTTTCTTACTTTTAGAATAAAACGGTTGACGTTTCAACATTTATTGGAAACACTAATGCAGCAATCAGAAATGCAAAAAGTATAAATAATTATAACCTATAATATTATTAGTAATTTAGAATTTACTCTAAAGCAATAATTGTAATGCAATTGTATTAGGATTTTACTGGAGGATTTGAACCTGTGAAGAGCCACAAAAAATTCAACAAGTAGCTTTATATTATTTGGCACATCAAATAGCTATGGCACAAATTGGGGACAAATTTAATATTGCAACATCGACTGTTTCTAATTGCATTAATATTTGGATAAAATGTATTTTAGAATTGATACCAATATTAATACAGTGGTCCACTATAAGTCAGCGAATTAATATTGAAGAAAAATTTAGAAATATTGCTAGTTTTTCAGGTGCGACTTATTAATGTTATTGCATTTAACATAAAGTGTATAATTAATTAATTCATTCATTCATTCAAGTTTATTCCGGACTCCCCTAGAGGTTGCCGGGGCGTTTTCAAGGGACCGCCAAACCCTTTACATCCTCCATTTCTCTAGCTATCTGTTACAATATGTTACATATTTGGCGCTTTTTTCTGATAGGAGCGCCCCGAACTTTTACAATCCTCCTCTAACTACTCATTACAATTCCATATCCATTCCCCCTGGCGCTTTTTTCTAATAGGAGCGTTCCCAAACCTCTACGTTTTCTTTTAAACCACTCGCACCTTCTCCAATTCTATATCCATTCCCCCTGGCGCTTTTTTCTGATAGGAGCGTTCCCAAACCTTTATGCTCCCTTTTCATTCCACTCGCATCTTCTCCCTTCCTCCTTCTTCCATCTCCTTACTTCCTGTCTCCAATTCTCCTTCCTCTTTTCCATTTTCTCCTTCCCTTTCCGTCGAGCCTGCTTCCCTCCTTTTCCTCTCTTCTCCTTCTCCTCCTTCTTCACCTTTTTCCTGGCCGGCATGTGGGGTGATTGGCCCTACTTGGATTCGAACCTGGGACCTTAGGTGTATTGTCTTACGACTTAACCTACTGGTCTACCATTTCACCCCGTGTATAATTAATTAAATATTGCTAATTATATATAATTTATATATTTAAGGTGTAATTGGAGCAATTGATGGTTGCCATATAAATGTTATGGCACCAAGTATACATCAAAGATGTTATCAAAATAGATATTGTACACATTCAATAATTTTGCAAGGAATATGTACAGCAAATAATATATTTACAAATGTATATGTGGGTCATTCTGGATCAGCTAATGATTGTAGAGTATTAAGTAACTCAAACTTATATAATAAAATTGAAGCAAATGTATATTCTCAGTACTTCTCATCAGGTCAACCTTTATTAGGTGACAAAATATATCCCATAAAAGAATGGCTTTTACCTCTTTTAAAGATTATGGCAATGTTACACGTATGCAGACAACATATAATAAAATTTAAAGCAAGATTAGAGTAAAAATTGAAAATATTTTTGGCTTATTGAAAGGACGATGGCGAAGGCTCAAATATATTAGTGTATAAAATAGAAAAAACTTCAAACATTGTGATGTCATATTGTGCTTTACATAATTTTTGTCTTATAAATGATGATTTTGCTGAATCATTAGTAGATATTGATATTGATAGATTGATAAAACACAAGTTTTTAATATCTGTTACGTCCAATATTCATCTAGCGATAAATTACCTTCTGCACAAGACGGTCTTCTCTCGCGTCTAAATCGGTGGACGTTTAAGAAGCTGCTCTCTATTTGTTTTATGGGCAACCTGCTAGGCCGGCTATACCCAGGGAAGCCGAGAGCTTGAGATTCGATTGAGAGTATCGGACGGAGAAGGAAACCGACGGTCGGGTCGATAAATAAAGATATTTTACAAATATAATGTCATTTATTCATTTATAAAACCTTTACGTCGATATAAAGTTTATTGGTCCTGACGTGGTTCGTGGGGAGCGTGAAATTGAGTTACAATATGACTGAGCTCCAGTTCCGGATTGTTAGGCTGGTTGAGGTAAGTTATGAAAGAAGTGAAGTTATCTTGCGCTTCCTCAGGGATGACGTTATCGACGTCGTGAGTGAGATTCGCGGTGTCCTCGTTGAGAATGTGAAAGGTTGGTTCGTTGTTAAATTGTAAAATGGGGTCGTACTCTGGCGATGTGATTGGTAGATTTTGATCCGGGATATAATATTCAGGATCGGGTAAGAATTGATGATTAGGGTTCGTTATTAACGTATTTGATTCTAACGGCGAGGGCTCCGGAAATTGCGGGTGAGAATAATCAATGTAGGGCGAAAGGTTATTTTATAGGCGAATAAACGTCTGGAGAAGGGGATCGAACGATTACTCGCGTAGGAAATATTTGGACATGTAAGTTTAAGACTCTTCTTGTCCTACGTTCGCGTAGTCTGTGGAGACGTTGCTCGTCGCGATCAATTTGATTCTTCCTTCGGAAGGGAGAGACCATCTAATGGTTAAATAAATTTATATGAATAATATGTTTAATAGAACTGAGATAGTTAAATAATCAAAGGTAATTGAATGTGACTCACGTTTAAGTCGTGATTTACGTGTTAAAGAGTTAGAGACGAGATGAAAGGTTAATCTATACGAGAATGCCCTTCACCTGTTAATTAATTAAGCGTTGTGTCAATTATAATTATAATTAAACGATACTGAAAGAGAATTGGTAATAATGTGGAATAGGAAAGGAGTCTTAGTACATGTATTAATATCTATATCAAGAATATTAATATTTGAACTTTCAAGCATCAAAGATTTAAGTCTTTAAATATTGAAGTAATAATTCTTAGTAATTATCAAGACCTCTGTCATTCGGTTTGGTAAAGTATTCGCAACTATTGGAAAATGCAAGGTAATAAAAGCGTAAAAGCGATAGAGAGATAGGTGTTCATCCGGCTAGGCCGGGTTCTCTGGTCCTTGTCTTAATAGGCTAATGCGACGTTCACTTTACTAAACGTGCACCTCAGAGATGACTTGCGAATGTACCTTATGACAGAGTATATTTCTATTGGTTGTAAATAGGGTCGGTGGTGTACACTTGTCGAATGAATCGAATATCAATATGCAAAATCACTGTCAGTTGGTGTGGTAAAGTATTCGCAACTATTGGAAATGCAAGGTAATAAAAGCGTAAAAGCGATAGAGAGATAGGTGTTCATCCGGCTAGGCCGGGTTCTCTGGTCCTTGTCTTAATAGGCTAATGCGACGTTCACTTTACTAAACGTGCACCTCAGAGATGACTTGCGAATGTACCTTCTGACAGGATATAGTTTCTAATGTGTACAGAGGAATTAGCGGCATTCAATTCGCTAATATGTG